CCAGGCATGCATGCTATACTAACAAAAAGAAGCAATGAAGACAGGGAGTCTCTCAAACAAAAATAGTGTCCAAAACAGTTGGCAAGGAAATAATATAATTTGTGAGAGGGTGGAAGCTAAGAGGACTTGGGAAGGAGAAACAAACCTTAAATGTAGCTCCATCACGGGTCCATCAACAGGCTCAGCCGATTCTGACATTGATGGACTCCTCTCTCTCCCAAGAACACCATTTTGGTTAATGTCCAATCCAAAACTAGCATCAAAACTCCCAAAACAAAATCCAAGCTTTTCAACTTCAGGTACATGCAGGTGATTTGGAATAATCACATGCTGGCTATCTGAAATATAAGTTTCTTCCAATTTCCCCTGCAGCTCTGACATGGTTTCTTGTGAAGTGAGAACAGGAGTTGTCTGTGGTTCAGAATGACTTCCACCAGATACCACAAGAACCTCTGATGAACCAGCAGTCGTGCCACCTTGACCAATATGGGGGTTTGTTGATTTAGGTTTCCATTCCTTGCCAGGACCCACTGGTGCAAAACAACAATTGTTACTGGACAAAATTTATTTCAGAAATTCAATAAGAGCAATGCTTTGCTATAAAAATCGCCACCATCAGTGTCTTGGAAGTAGTCACTTAGATGAGTTTGCATATTGATACTACTTCAATTCATAATATGTTGATGTAAACAAATGACACGATGCGAACAATGACAGACTATCCCACCCTAGAATAAAAAATCTTTAGTCAAGAATCAGAAAACTAGCAATCAGCTAGAAAAGCTACATGACAACATCATCATTAACAACTGACAATGTTTGGACTACCCATGAAATCATGGTGGACTTCTAGCATATATAGTGATTGTGAAAAGACCAAGATGGTCCACTCTGTCTCATCAACACAGAATGTTCACATTATATGACACGGCATAAAAAGCAGAGGAACTTTTGAGATTGCCTCATAGCTGCACACCTTTTTGCGAACCAATCACTTGAGACCTATTGTTGTAATTAGATGAAGGCCTGCTGTTAGCAGATGATGTAGTCTGCATGGACTCTGAATGTTGATTCTTCCCAACTCCCTGGAATTCATTTACCACTTTTTTCTCCGAAGTAGCAGTCGCAACCTCAGAAGTAGCTATTACAGATTTCAAAAATAGTAAATCCCATTAGCTGTGTAAGAAAAAAATGAGAAATAATACATATTTAGGAACCAACTATCATACATATTTTGGCAGAAGCTGGTTTGTTCTCAGTAAGATTGTTGTCAAGCTGTTCAATGGAGGCATCTTGATTTCCCAAAACATTAGGGAGTTGAAATTGTTGAGAAGGCAATTGTACAGTATCTGAAGAAGACGAATAAGATCCTGCAGCAAGTGGTGAAGGAACAGATGCTGTGCAGTTTAAGTCCAGAATTTGGTGCTGCTTTATATCCTTACCCCCCAGAGCATCAGTGCTCTTAACAGAACCAATAGAGATTGTACCCTCACCATGGTTCTCAAGTACAATATTGATACTCTGGGAGGTAATACCAGATGGACCATTAGACGCAACATTAGCACGGCTGCAAATAACAAGACAGTCTTTAGACAACATTAGTAGATTGAGGGGAGGGGGTGCTGGGTGCAAACCAGTATAGAGTATACTAAAAGTGCACATATGATGATAAAAAATCGAACGCACAATGTATTGACCACACACATAGGAGGCCTATAAAGATTACCGCACCTTGCAAAGGAACATATTTCATTCTTTCTCATGTCATGTGAAGAAGCCAAGGGGGGCTTGCCGGTACACTTCTCAGTAGGGTGGCTAGTAGCACTTTCCTTTGCAGCAGCCATATTTCTCCCACCACCAGCATCTGAGAAGTTATAGAGTACAGTATGATAGAAGGAATAGGGGGAAAAAGGATGGTCCTTTCAATGTAAGTAGTTTAGAAAAAAACACTACCCATTTTCATTTCATATTAGAACTGCCTATTGGTGAGCAGCTTTTATGAGAACATAATCAGTATGAAACTTCGGATAAAAAATCCATAATAGTAATACTATCCCCAGAATAGCTTCACAAGATTCACAGCATCATAAATACATGAGAATTAAATCAACACAACTCAAATTTTCAATTGCAGAAGATAGCTCACCTTGAGGCGCATATCTTGATGGGTAGTTCCCACGACCCCCTCTATTTGTCCGAGCCTGTGGGCTAGGCTTCCACTTCGACTCTGCATGCTCCTTAGACATGTTCTGAAAATTATAAGGAGAATTCGAACCAGTCAAGTCCTGCTTAAGAACAATATCAAGAAAATCAAAGAAAAAAAGAAAGAAACAAACAAAGTCAAGCAACTACAATAAGTTACAGGGCTATCAAACTTCCAATATCAATAAAATAGGTGCCTCGAATACAAACATGTCCTATTGATGATTTAAGTGAATTGACACACGTAATTGATCAAACTAGTGGAACAAAAGCATTAACGATCACCAATGATTTCCTATGAAACTTAAACTATGTTTTATGCGCTACCCTTTTGTGGCCAGAGCCTGTGTCACATGAGTAGTCTATAAAGATAAGCTAAAAACCTGACATTAAACTTGAACATAAAAAATACTAATGACACCCGGCCATGAGATGTATTGGGGGAAAAAGAAACAATGTATGGATAAAACAATTGATTCACCTATAAGGAGAACTTCTGGAGGGGAACAGTAATGTAGTTGGTAGTTATGTTCAAATTATCTTTAGTGTAGATGACGGGTTCTCAAGAAGCAGAGTTACTAGAGGTTGAGGCTTACACCAATATAGACAAAACGCTGGACAAAATACACAACGAATGATCTTGTCACATTTATAGTTGAATGAAAAAATAAGCCTAATTTATAGTGGTTCAGATCATGCTGAGTGGTTCTTAAAGTTAGTCTTGTAAAATCAATCATTTCTTCTTCGTAACTATATTGCAATCCAGTGTAGGGGTTCAGAACAGAATCCCAGATACTAATAATAAAATATTTCAAGTTCATAATACAAACTAAAATGCACTATTAACAATACCACCTGAATAATATACAAATCCAAAATGATCCTCTTATTCTGTTCTATATGGAAGTGGGATAATTTATTAACAAGGTATAGAAGACAAGGATTTAAAAGAGATTAGCAGTACCTCTTTTCTCCTGTCACGCTTTCTTTTGACTTCATGGAATGTATCTGCATGAGAATAAAAGCATTGTCAGCTTTCCATGTTGAGACACTCATGCACAACAGGATAACGAAGTCTAATATGAGAGCTATCACCGCACACAAAGAACACAATGTTCTTCCACTAAAACAGTTTATTTTTTTTGTTTCTTTTAAGTACAACTGTATGAAAATGCTGAAAAAATAAATAAAAGGGAGTTAGATTGAAACTAATCAAAATATCTAGTGTTATCAGAGAAGCTATTAGGAAACCTTATATGAAAAATCTAGCTACAATCCTGTCCCCTTGCTTGTTGACTACAGAGAAATACGGTTCCTAAACCCAGAATCTTTTACAGTTCCTCCTGCAAGGCAGGCTGAATATTTTAGATTTACAACCCCACCCACCACCCTCACCCCCAAAACCAAGAAAATGGCTAGATATTCATGAGTATCAAACTCGCACTCAAATGAATGTACAGGCTGTATATTCATCCAAAATAATTTTCCCCCAAATATCTATGCAAGTGTCAAAATTGAATTGGAAATGGAACGTTCTGGAGTCAGGGCGCTATTGGAACGAGCTCAGTGAGCTGCATATGAACAATACTACTACATTTTAATAACACATACAGAGACATAAGAGTGCAATAGATTGAGTAGTCTCAAATCATCACAAGTATACCAGAAGTTTAAACCATTATTGAAGAATATTGTAGCTTAAAATTTCTTTTATTTTTTGGGGTAAACCATGGCATACATCATTTGAACTATATTAAAAATGAAACCGCTCCCCCAACCAATAAAAAATAAAAAGGACACAAAAAGAAAAATGGTACAGCGCAGTTATACATATACCCAATAAAAGAAAGAACAGATCATGAAATCAAATCCTCCATTTTCAACGAGCACAGATCAATAGGAAAATCGACCAGACCCCACATGAAAACACCCGGAAAGAATACCAGCGAAAAGAAAAATGGGGGGAAAAGTGACAAAAGACCGATTTATAGAAAGAAAATTGACCGAGAAGTAGAAGCTTCTGGGTGGTTTCGTTGGGATCCATGTTACATTCCTTGAGCATTGCATAAATCTCATCTTCACTGTGATTCTGCCCAGTAATCTCCTTTATATTGTCGATCGTCTTCTTAACACCGCTCGGAATCGAAACCCTACCCGCACCTCCCTTAACCCCACTGCTCATCTTCTCTCTGCAACAACTCCAACGCTCCTCTGTATCTATATAGCAACCCGGGCCGATGAACAACAAAACACACCAAAATGGTAATGCAATGAGAAGTATTATGCAGAAAGAATGAAGCTTTCAGCTCGATAGAGAGAAAGAATGAGAGAGGGAGTGTGTGCTCTGTGATTGTGTATATTTTGGAGGAAAGGGAAGAAGAAGAGGAGACCTGAGGGGAAGGGTTTTTGTGAGGCGACTGACTGATTGATGGGAAAATTGAAATTGGAAAAACCTAAAATTGGATTTTGCTAACAGATCTTAATAGACATGTTTTCTTGCTTGTGATTGTGCACTCTTTTTTAACAAGTGCGATCTCTTGTTTAGAGACTTTTTATTTTTAATTAATAATTAATACAATAATGATGATTATAGCGTACCTATACTAATAATTAACGAAAAAAATGGAAATTATTTAGGAAGCATCTTTTCGATGTTGTGCAGAAACCTTTAAATCACGTGCTTTAAACAAAATGGTGGCAGGTATATGGCTATATGCCTCTCTCAATATTTTGTTGTATGTAATTTCCAAACCTAACCTCGTGAGTCGTGATTAGCTTTTGGAAATTTGAGGGTAAATTAGATACTGTATTCGTTAGAATTTCTTTTCTGTACGTTTTTCTGTTACATTACCTAGTAATTAGATAATGTGTTTTTCCAATATAAATAAATGTACATAGGTTTACACTCAAATGTCATATTTTAAATTATTATATAAAAAAATATGATATTTTATAATATAAGTATATTTTTAGAGTTGTTTAGTCCCTTAACAGTAGCATTTGTTTAATTTACTGATTAGTAATAGTTTTTGGATTAAAAAACAATAACTTAAAAATTGCTCGATATATAACTTTATGAGATAGAGGATTACAAATTTAGTTAGTTTTAATATCAAAATTTGTTAAATATTTAACATTTTTGCATGTCAATTTTTCATCAATTATCAAATATCAGGTAATTAAATTGACTATCAATTATGTGCTACTTGTTAAATTAATATATATAATCATTATACTTGAATATAGAGATGTAGGTTGTGGGCCATTTATGTCGTTGCCATCATCACTTATTAAACATGCATATGTAATGACCCAACCATTAGCAGTGATATTACTAATATGATAATTTTAAAATCTTTACAGTAACAGTCAAACATAGAACCTATAAGGCTATAACCAACAAATTTTACACAGGACCAATTTGTTTTCTATCAAACCCAATAAAATATCCTGGAAATGTCAAAACTTTAAAATGGAGCTGAAAAGAAGTCCAAATTTTTTTTATTTTTTATTTTTTTCTTTTCTTTTCTTCTTCTCACTCCAAGCCACCCACACAATTACTAAATACACTTACCATAAAAATAAAACAAGTTCCCCACTAACTTGAGTGTTGCTTCCATTAGACAACTCATAACCCCCAAATTGATTCAATGTGTAATCAGTTTGAACAAATTGCAAATGTCAAAAATCAGCAAGTTTTGAGCAAAAGATACATCTCACTGCCTGCACAAAATCTCTACAGGCAACATGGTATTATGATAAATTATACTTTATCTTTAGCATTCCCTATATTATTTGAAAAGAGAAAGATAAAATTTCCAAAAATCGTCTAATAGAGATCATAATAATGAGATTACAAGAAGATTACACGTAAATATGTACAATGTAATGTATTGTTACATTTCAAGTGCATTGTAAACCTTCAAAATTTCTTCGCCTAGACATATAAATGTGGAGAAAACAAGCTTACTGCATCATGTTTCATCCGATTTTGGCGTGGAAGCCATTGGAACTACTGACAATGGTGGTCGTAACAGAAGATAAAGGGCTGGGCCTAAAAGTGGAACTATGGATATAGGAAGAAACCAATAGCCCTTAGTGTACCTACAAGACAACAAATCAATTTCAAACCATTACTTGGGAAATCCCATCATCATGAGACAGAATAACAAAAAAGAAGAAGAAAAAATTATAAATTCTAACCATTTCCGAGCAGTCATGTCATTGTAAACCCAAAAAGGAGCAAACATCGAGAACAAACAAAAATCAATACTCATGATATGGATCTGCAATAACAAGGATTGTAATTAGCTACATTCGAGGGATTCTGAAGACGAACCGCTGATTAAAAAAATATTCACGCAACATGCAAAGATAACATATCATTGTTTTTTCTAAAGAGGCAGTGATTTTTCTCATGCTTCAGTTTTGTGCTTTATTGCTAGTTTGTCAGAGCAGACATGAAGATGACTTTTTGTCAAAAGTTTGCATGAGAAAAAAATGGAACACTCACAAATTTGCTTCCTTTGAAGTATTGGTAAAATTCTTTCCAAATGTCGCCATCCGATGAAAATGCATAGATGATAATAGCCAGTCCTGCAGCCATTGTAATCTGAAAACAAATTAGTTAGTCGTATTTTCCATAAATACGCAGAATGCAAAACCAAAGATAGTAAGAGTTATCATCATTTAGCCATTCATATTTGTTTCATGACCCAAATAGTTTTGTGCACAGCTACAAGCAACCTGCTCTTGTTTCACACAGTTTTCATAAGAAACATGCTTTGGGTACACTTAAGAAATGATATGTCATTTAGAGAGAGAAAAGGGAGCAATTTTACTGTTTCCTCATAGTTCAATCAGAAAGCTGGGCAAGGTGTTTATATTATAGTTCTGCTTCTTGATTGGCTTTCACAAACAACCGAAGCACTTTTAGAACTAATACATTAAACATTCTTTTCAGCTTCGGGGGTGAGAAACATATTATTTTTGAAATCAGAAGCTTTTGCAACCACACGGCACATTTACTTGAGATTTCTCAGGTCATCCAATTCACATTCTTTCTTCACATGAGAGATGTTATTAGTTTTTCATTTTTTAGGCATTTTAAATAACTCACATTCTAATATAAAACTAGTATTTTCACATAATAAGAATTCCTTTACCCCTGCAGTTAATTTTGACTCGAAGAAATTCAATGGCCATCTGTTAAGCTCGGTTTCTTCAACTGGAGGAGCTGGTGGTTTCCACAGAACAAAGTAGGGAATGAGAGCATATGCACCTCCAATGACTGACAGAGAAAGAAACGGCCAAACCGGAATTTTGCTTTTCGAGCTGCATATAAAAGCAACAAACCAGACTCATTTATGCAAATGGATTTTCCCCCAAGCCCTTCAACATACTTTTCGCACATTTGATCGTCCATACCATCATTCACATACAATCTAAAGAAAATAACTCTGAACACTGTTCATTTTGACCAATCTGGAAAAATTTTTACAAAAATGAGAATTTTACCTTCTGCCTGTTGGAAGGAGAAGCATACTGTACACAAGAGGCCATAAACCCATGATGTACCATAGAGCTACCATTACTTGGTTCATTTGAAAACCATCATCTCCTGCTAAATTCAGCAGCTTTTTCAAGAAATACGAGTCTGTTACCTAAACACAAGTATACAAAAACCAGAGCAACACGGGTTCAGAAAAACAATCATATTATGACCCAATTAAGAAATCTTCAACAGTACTACAACAGGTAAATAGACTAACAAAAAACAGATGAGCTAACAGCAAATTATTCCTATACAAACCGGTGTTTGGTTAGGAGCAAGGACGGAAACATAGTAAATGATTGCAGCCCAGAAAACAAACAGCAAGAACGACGTCGTCCAGTCCCTCTCCTCCCCATTATTCCCGCCGCCATTACCGCCACCGGCAAGAAGCTCATCTTCCTCGTCGGAAGAAGAAATAAGTGGAGGCTCTTGTGGAGTCTGTGTTTTGAGTGAGCTAAGGCGTGTTTGGATTCGACTCTTTCTGAGCTCAATAAGAAGAGGTGAAAATTTGGATAATCTTGAGCTGTAATTTGATTTAAGAGATAGTGATAGGGTTTGGGGAGGATAAAGTGATGATTTTGCGGGAGAACAAGAGGTTTTTGATGGGATATGAGAGAAGTTGCAGGAGAGAGTGTTGCTACTTGCTATCATCTTTTTGTTGAGCAAAGCTCACAACTCTTTGAGGAGGTTCTTGTTCAAAGAAGAAATAAATAAGTGAGGGAATTGCAGTGGGGGTAAATTTATATTTTCATTTTAGCCCTTAATGTTGTTATATTATTCATATCTCACATCAAATATCTTTTCGTTTTTTTTTTTAGTCAACCACGGTATCCGAAATCATGCCCCGACATCAAATATTCCTTTTACCACCAAAACTTTTAACCTAATAGTTTTCCAGATATGTTCCAGTTAGCGTGGAGTTGTAAAATGAGGTGAGTCGTGTCCGGAGTCATGATACTCGAGTTTGGGTTGGACCATTATCGAGTCACTAAATTTAGCTCAACTTCTTATATAATAAAAGTTCAAAAAATTACGTACAAATTATATTCTATCGAACCTTAAAGTGTCGAGCTAGTGGAGTAACTAAACGAATCTTAAACGAGCTTGACTTGACTCCAGACAATTGATCTATGAAGGTCCACCAGTCTATCCATAAATTCGGTATTTTTTAAGTAAGAGTATAAACAAGCTATGCGAGTTCGAGTTCATGATACTCAGGCTCGAGCTCTTAAGGAACTGCCTAAATTTGGCTATATAATTTAATGATTCAGTAATTGTACTAGAGTTCAGTTCATTTATCAATATTTAACGAATTGAATTATAAAAAAAACAATATACAAAAAATTTTCTTTTCAAGTTTAACGAGTCTTATCCGATCGAGTTGAGTCCGTCATTAACTAAATAAGTTTTGATAAATTCCTGCAAATCAGCTGCATTTATCAACGGCCAAAAAACTGCCAATTAAAGCAAGAACGAGATAAGGCACCATCTTCCAAATCAAAGCCAGCGCCATCCGCCATGGCCGAAGCTTCATTAGTTCCTCAATCAATGTTCATCCCCACGATCCCAGCTCAACATACACTCAGAAACAACTTCAATCTCTATTTCCCTCTTTCAACGTCGACAAGAAGCGGCGTTTCCCACCGGTTTCGCTGCTCTGTCTCCACCGCCGCCGCTGAGAGCGCCGCCCCGACCGGCGTCCCATGGGGCTGCGACGTGGACTCTCTTGAAAATGCTTCTTCTTTGCAGGAATGGCTGTCTCGTTGCGACCTTCCTCCTCAGAAAATGGCTATAGAGAGAGTGGATGTAGGGGAGAGGGGGCTCGTTGCTTTGAAAAATATCAGGAAAGGGGAAAAATTGCTCTTTGTGCCACCCTCACTTTTCATAACTGCTGATTCTGTATGTGTTCTGCTTTGTTCTTTTGTGTGTTCTTTTTTTATGATTTTGTGTTTTTTGAAATTTTTTATGCTTGGGTGTTGTTTCTCTTTGCTTTATTAGTTGTGATCGGTTTAGTTTTTACCTTTGGTTCTGATATCTGTCTACTGCTTTACTTCGCTTCTCTAGACTCTAAAGTCTTCATATTATTGGAAAAAAAATTTGATGGATAGTGTGCTTTCGCGTGGATCTTTGGTTATTGGATTATTTTCTCGATTGTCTATTTCCATGATCAAGGGAATACAACATCGATCAATGTAAAATAAACATGCTTTATGTTTAGTACGTTTTGAACAAATCCGGTCTAGATTAATCGCTTATTCATCAACTTGCTGCGGATTTTGACTACATTTTTAGTTGCTTACACTGTGTCTGGTTTTGGGCGGTGATGATTTAGGAGTGGAGCTGTCGTGAGGCTGGTAAGGTGCTTAGGCAGTATAAAGTGCCGGACTGGCCACTGCTTGCCACCTATCTGATTAGTGAAGCCCGTCTTGCAAACTCATCGAGATGGAATAACTACATTTCAGCCTTGCCAAGGCAACCCTATTCTCTCTTGTATTGGTAAGGGTGAAAAAAGTGAAAGAAAAGATACTACCCTTAAGTTTCAGTAAATTACGAAAAACTCATAATTTGTTGCTCCTACAACAGTTCCATGTAATTTCAGGACTCGTTCGGAATTGGATAGATATCTTGAAGCCTCACAGATAAGACAACGAGCAATAGAGAGGATCAATGATGTCACTGGGACGTACGAGTTATTCTTTAAGTTAATTTGGAATAAACTGTATTTTTTTGTTGAGTTTTCCATTATTGTTAATTGCTACTTGGTGCATATCAAGTTTAAGTAGACCTTGTGCTAGCTGATCTAAAGATGTGTGCTAATCTCTCATACAGATACAATGACTTGAACGACAGAATATTTTCCAAGTACCCTGATTTATTTCCTGAAAAGGTTTGTTCGGTATTCCGCTTTGATTTGCATAGAAGGTCTGTTTATGTCATTCCCTTCGATATTGTTCCAGAATAACATGATGGAAGTCAATTCGTCAAGTTTTTGTTCATGTTCTTGTTTTATTGAACTAGAAGGTGACCACGTAATGACCAGGTTAAGCATTCATGCTATGTTATAATTATTCCGACATCAGATTTCGAGCTTTCCTGCAATAGTGCAGAACCTTCTAGCCTGTTCTAATTATTGCTGTATTTTATTCTAGGTGTTCAACATGGAGAGTTTTAAATGGTCATTTGGCATTCTTTTTTCACGATTGGTAAGCCATTATTAATACTAGTGAAAGAATGTTAATTTTTCCAAGGAGAGCTTCTTGCTGTATAGATCTTTTGATAATGTTATTCTGCTTGTTGATCATTTTTCTTTCACCTATAATATTAATTTCATGTTGTAATCAGGTGCGCTTACCCTCAATGGATGGAAAGGTTGCTTTGGTTCCATGGGCAGATATGTTGAATCATAGTTGTGAGGTATTGTCACTTAAGAGTGCTATTATCTATTCAATAATGTACTTGGCAGCTGATATCATCTTTGCTCTAACTTTAATTACTTGATTGATTTATAGGTTGAAACATTTCTAGATTATGATAAATCATCTAAGGCAGTTGTTTTCACAACTGATCGAGCATATCAGCCAGGTGAGCAGGTACACATGCTAGAGTAATTACGCCTTCAGTATACATATATACTCCCATCCCAGACTGATTTTCTTGGGGAATAAATAAAAATAAAATATATTTCTGAAATAACAATTTCACAAAATTTTATAAGCATTAGCTAAACAGGGCTCTTATAGATATTACAACATGAAAATTGGTTCCTGGAATTGCTGAAGTTTAGTTATATGTATAGCTATACGAGATACAATAATGGTCCTTCAGAAATCACAATTTGCAATGTCGAATTTGGAACAATAAATAAATAAAATATGAATAAAGAAAGAATAATGGTTATTTGGGTATCCTCCAATTGATTTTTCCCTTTCCTTTATTCATCCTGAATTATTGCATTAGTCTGTATACCAACATTATTATATGGTTGATACTGTTATTTGATTTCATTGTGCTAACTTTATCCAGGTTTTTATATCATATGGAAGGAAATCTAATGGTGAGTTGTTGCTTTCATACGGATTTGTTCCACGGGAAGGCACCAATCCTCGTGACTCAGTCGAGCTCTCACTGTCACTCAAAAAATCTGACAAATGTTACAATGAGAAGTTGGAAGCTCTGAAGAAGCACGGACTATCTGCGTGAGTCCAGCTTAGCAACTGAAAAGAGAAACCAATATATGAAATTAAAATTTGGCGATAAATTACATACTTACTTTTGGTTTCTGATTGCCAATTAACTGCGTTTACGAACAGGTCTCAGTGTTTTCCGCTACAAGTCACCGGTTGGCCGGTCGAGTTAATGGCTTACGCTTACCTGGCAGTGAGCCCCCCAAGTATGAAAAATCAGTTTGATCAGGTCTGGCTCACTCCATATGTTCTTAAGGATATCCACAAAAAGAGCCTTTAGATTTATTATAACTACAAATTACTACGATGATCTTTCAAAATTACATTTCCCCCTCGAGCTGTCGTGGATAATAATTCGTACGACACATGAAAACCAATTCTTTCTGTCATTTGGCTTTGCCTTAGGGGGATAATTTTTGGTGATTATCCATGTTTCTTTAACACAGACAATATTGGAATAGGCTGTGATTTTAGGTTACACCGCATAACGATTTATTTTATTTGTTATTTTGTCTCAGATGGCTGCAGCTGCATCAAATAAGAATACCTCAAGTAAGGATCCTAAGTATCCTGAAATAGAGGAAGAGGCATTGCAATTTATTCTTGACTCCTGTGAGGCCAGCATCTCAAAATACTCTAAGTTCCTTCAGGCAAGTACATTGTTACATTTCTAACATACATGAATGCGCATACACTTGTAATTATAAGTTCGGAAAAAAAAAAAAAAAAATCTATATCGTGAATTCCCTTGACAGGTGAGTGGATCAATGGATTTGGATGTGACGAACCCAAAGCTCCTGAACCGAAAATTGTTCTTGAAGCAGCTCGCTGTTGACTTATGCACCAGCGAGCGGAGGATACTATTCCGTGCTCAATATGTAAGGGAAAAACTCAAAATTCCCTATACCTCATAATTTGTGTTGTTTTACATGAAACAATATGAATATGATTGGTAACTCAACAGAGACTGAGGAGTACTTGCATGAACTAGTGAACGAGAATGGAAATAATTACATAAACCACCCCTTATGTTTTAGCCTGGTTACCGGAAAAACCCACATTCTTGTAATTTTTTTGTTTTTAGAACGCCATACATGATGTGATTGTGATTTGTGAGTTTACTTTGTTGAGCCAGATTCTGAGGAGGAGGCTGAGAGATATGAGAAGCGGCGAGCTAAGAGCTTTGAGGATCTTCGAAGGTTTCAGAAAGCTGTTCAACTGAGCCATCAGAGATTAATTCGCTACCTATGTTTAGGCCAAGATTTTTATTTGACTGAATATCATGTGATTTCAAAGGATTTGGCTCTTGTGTTCTGTAATTTGTTGGTTTTGTGATGCATCATTTTGTGTGAAGATAGAACTTGTGATGCATCACTTTTTGTGAAATGATTATTTTGTGACGCATCTTTTTGTGATGCATCTTTCTAAAAATAAAATGATTATTGTGTGAAGATAGAACTTGTCAATAGTCACTGTTCTAGTGAAATCGTTTCTATGAATTATAAAGAAATCTTTTTTATGAAATATAAAGGGATCTTCATATTAAAATTTGATTATATTTTGAACATATTAATATCTCATTTGACATGTTTTGATAATTGATAGTATAGATTTAGAAACATATATTTGAATATTTACTGTTGATCATATGGGCCGACTAATTAAAAATTTATGTTGTATAAAGTATATAAGTATTTCTTACTTTATATATGAAATACAAAGGTTTAATAAAATATCTAACCAGTACAACACTAGTAGGTAGTAGTTAAAAAATTATACTGATATTCTTAAAAAATATAAAAGATATTGTTTTTAAGTTAATATTTTTTATACATTATTGAAATGTAAGAGATGTTTTTTCTCATTTAAATTCTTAATACTTTTTGATAATTAACATTATTATTTATATTTAAATAATATTTTTTTAATTTGTGTGCAAGGGATTTATAAATAACCTTTTTAATTGATATATATTTTTATTAATTTTTAAATCAGTAAAAATATTAATAGATGATTTAATTTTATAATAAAAAAACTAAAATAATATTTATTTTATGCATGCATCAAATCGAAACTCATCAAAATATGATTAATTCGATATATATAAAATATTTATAATAAATACAAATGTAAATTTTTAAATATTAAATCAGTCAAATATTTTATAATTTCAAAAGTTCTGATATGTATGAATAAAATTCAGATCTATATGAATTTTCAGACATTGACACATAGAACCCAGCCCGTTGGCCCGCCGGGCCAGGCTGGGCCCGGGCCCGTGCCGAGTTTTGGCCATGTCTATGTGTCCAACACATGTAAATCAGATTCAATGCACTTGGATGTATGAAAATGTATCTATATATATATAATTGCTACCTAAGCAATAAATAAAACTTAATAAATTTTACCTATGTGGCAAATCATTAATAAAACCTAATAAATAGAACCTAATAAATTTTATTTATGTGGCATTAATACACCCAATCTCATTAATAAAAAAATATTTCATTATATTTTTTGAGTTAATTAAGACAATAATCATTATATTTTATGTTAATTGATTAATAATTATATTTTTTAATGAATAATATAATAGTTAATATTAAAATTAGTAATTATATTTTATACTAAATAATATATGAAAGTTACATAAAATTATATTTTACACTAAAATCAATATTTTTTTATATGATGAAGATGTTGTTTATTAATAAACTAATTTTTTTTTTTTTTTTTATGTTATAGTAAAAATTCTTAAAATCACATAAGCAATTGTTATAATAACTGTAATATTTTTCAGCTAATTAATTGGTCGATCACTCAAAATTATAAAAAGTATATATTTATTGCATTTTATGCAATCAATGCAGTGATTCGTATACAATCAAATCGTGTGTACTATTTATTTTAACCAATGATCAAATTTTAAAATATAATACTATTATATAAATTATTATTTTAATATTATATATATAAATATAACTTATAATACTATATGTTTGAAATATAATACAATGATATAACTTATAATTTTTATATTATATACATAAATATAACTTATAATATTTAATTTTATTTACATTTGTGCAAATGCACAAAGTAGAATACTAGTAATGGAGTCTATACTTATATTAAAAGGTATCCCATTTACCAGATTTAGTATAAAGAAAAGTCAAAAGTAATTAATGTTTGCTGGAAATAGAATGACATTAATTACAGATTTATTTTGGTATTTATAGACATTAAAGATTTGTTATGGGATAAAAATTAGAACCGATTTTTTTACCTTTGCTGGAAAAGTCAAATGTAAGTATAGATTTATTTTATTCCATAACATCGGTTTAATTAAAATAATCTCATAAAATCGGTTTTAATGTCAAGTCTATAAATAAAGATTTAATCGGTTTTAATAAAACAGATTTAATTAATTTTAATAATTGCATAGAATTTCAAAGCTGTTATTTATTGTAAAAAAATTAAATTTTAAAAAGTTATTTGTGTATATTTTGTAAAATATTTGTACAAAATGTTTTACTTTTAATTTATTTATATAATTTAAATTAATTACATTAATAAATAATATAAACATACATTAAAATTTTAATTACATAAAAAAAAAGAAGAAGATTACATCTATAACTTATAATAATAATGACATTATACTACAATAAATTTTATAATGAAATAATATAAGTATTATACGAGGAACAAGATTACGTAAAATTGTTATTTTTCTTATATCAAAGAATAAATATATATAATGAAATCAAATTTATATTATTATGAACATGTGAGCGAGATAATATATTAATTAATTTACGGGCTAGCGCTACCAGACTCAGGTTTAATGTTCCGACAAAAAAAATGACGTTGATGAAAAGATGTAAAAAAATAGATGATCAAACTCTATTATTTTTTAGGCCTGAACGGACAAGCCCTATGGTCCACTAATTTAATATCTCTCGTGAATCGCACGAGTACGGACAAGTTCTGTGGAAATAACTCATTAATACTTATGTCACGGGCTACGTGGTAGTAATTTTTATCCGAGACCCACTTTATATAAGCGATCTTATTCCGGCGATAAATTTGATCATCCCTATACTATACAACACTATCGTACTGAGCTTCACTCTTCAGTCATGGCAAGAAAAATGGCCGGAGAATATAACCGCCGTTATTTACACTATCTCCCGCCGCTTTTGTCACTAGCAATAGCAATACTGCTCCCCGCCGCTGGCGCGGAGAAAGATTCTTCTCCGATCATCGCCAGATTCCAGGAATACCTCAGAATAGACACCGCTCACCCCAACCCCAGCTACTACGAAGCCGCCGATTTCATCCTCTCGCAAGCCAAATCCCTCTCGCTGGATTTCCAAATCCTCGAGTTTGAGAAAGGGAAGCCTCTGGTCCTTCTCAAGTGGACCGGCAAAAACCCTAGCCTCCCGTCCGTGCTCCTCAACTCCCACACCGACGTCGTGCCGGCCGAGCATCGGAAATGGGATTTCCACCCTTTCGAAGCTCGGATCGACTCCTCCTCCGGCCACATCTACGCCAGAGGCTCGCAGGACATGAAATGCGTCGGGCTTCAATATCTGGAGGCCATCCGCCGGCTACAGGCCGCTGGATTCCGCCCCCTTCGCACTGTGTACCTCTCTTTCGTCCCCGACGAGGAAATCGGTGGCCATGATGGCGCCGAGAAGTTCGCCCATTCGGAGGTTTTCCAGAAAATGAATGTGGGGATTGTGCTGGACGAGGGACTGGCTTCGCCTAGTGAGAATTATAGGGTGTTCTATGCCGAGAGGTCCCCGTGGTGGCTGGTGATTAAAGCCACCGGGGCGCCTGGTCACGGGGCTAAGCTCTATGACAATACAGCTATGGAGAATTTGCTTAAGAGCATTGAGATTGTGAGGAGGTATAGGGCTGCACAGTTCGATTTGGTGAAGGGTGGAGTCAAGGCTGAAGGAGATGTTGTTTCTGTTAATATGGTGTTCTTGAAAGCTGGCACTCCATCTCCTAATGTGAGTCTCTTCTTTACTTGTGGCCAAGTTAGCTACTATAGATTTATGCATTTGCTGCTGTTGCAGCTAAATTTTTTACTATTGATTTGGAGCTGTCCTGCAATTTTCTTAGGTAAAAACTGTGAATTGTTTGTTTATTGGCCATTTAAGATTACAGGCTAGCTAGTTTCATTAGACACATATGAGCCGAACGGTCAAAAGTGGTTTGTTTTGGTTTGTTCGTTATATAGGTCAGAAACTTC